TGTCTTGCCAAATTTAGGAAGTTTTCAGCCGTTATTTCTTGGAATACTTTTTCAAACCCATCCTCTTTTTTCTCTCCTTCTGTGACTCATGAAAGTTAGATTTGGTTTTTTTTTTTTGTTTTTTTTATAATCTCAGAACTCCATGAGGCTCTATTAATATATTTTCAGGCTATTTTCTGTTTGTTGTTCAGATTAGATATTTTCTATCATTTTGAAGCCCAGTTCGCTGATTGTTTCCTGTGTCCCATTTTGTTTTGAGCCCATCCACTGAGCTACATACATCAGTTCTTGTATTTTTCAATTCCAGAACGTCCATTTGGTTCTTCTTTATATCTTCTTTTTCTTTATTAAGCCTTTCTTTTTGCTGAAGATTTCTCCTTTTCATTTGTTTCAGTCATGTTGTTATTGCTTGTTGAAGCATTCATGATGGCTGCTTTACAGTCTTTGTCAGATTTTTCAGACATCTCTGTCATCTTGGCACTGGAACCTGTTGGTAATATTTTTTCTTTCTGTTTGAGATCTTCCTGGTTCTTGATATAATGAAGGATTTCCGTTTGAATTCTGGGCATTGTTGCATTGTGTTATGAGACCTTAGATTTTTATTTAAATCTCTTGTTTAACTCGTCTCTGCTCTTGGGCGCTGCTCCGTGACTGCTGGGTGAGGTGGAAGCCCAGGCTGCCCGCCAAGCTCCCATGGACACCCAGGGCCAGGGCTGTTCCTTGTACTGCTGGGCTGGGGTGAGAGCCCCGGTGTCTGGCCTCCCACACCCCATGACCACATGTCCCCACGGGCACTGTGGCTCCGTACCTGGCCTTGGGACACCACCCTGCTGGGGGCATCAGGGAACCTCACTGCAGCCTCGGAAGGGTGGTGGTCCGGGCTCCCCACTCAGCCTTTGCTGGCATTGGTGGCATGAGGCCACAGTTTTTCCTGTAGTGTTTGTCTGGAGTAGAGCAGTTTTGTGTAAAAGGTTTCTCTCTTGCTGGGTTGCCCTTTCCTGGTTCGATGACTTGAGAGAGCAGGCTTTTGTTGGGGCTTCTTAAAATCTGCCTCCATTGGCATTTCCAGGCTGCCAGCTTGTTCAGCTCCAAGTCTGGGAAATACGAGGGAAAAGGAAAAACCCAGGGGACTCATCACTGTGTCATTCCTCGGGCCCCAAGATCCCTGGCCAGTTTGCCACCTTCTCTGCACTTTTCAAAGTCTTCTTATGTTTCTTTTATACGTAGTGTCTAGGGTTCTAAGTTGTCCTGAGCAGGCGGAATGGGGAAAAGTACTTCTACTCCATCTTCTTGGAAGCAGAAGTCCACCTTGGTGTTAAGGGTCATTTGTTGCACATCGAATTCTACATTAGACAGTTCCTTGTTTTTGTGCTCCTGCCCCAACACTGTGAAGATGGTGACCTTTGGGGTTAATGAACCTCGTGTCTTAATAGGGAGCTTTCCTTTCTTGCTGATTGCGTTTAGTTTAATATTGACTCTACCTCATTCTCTGGGGGTTTTTTTTTTTTCCATTCCAGAATATGTACTAGACCTATATGTTGGACCTTTTCTTTCAATTCTGCATTTTTCTTAAACTCTCATATTTTCTCTCTCTTCATTTCTCTGTTCTGCCTCCTAGTAATTTTCTCCAGTCTGGATTGCAGTTCACTAATTTTCTCCTTAGTTTTATTGATTCTACTCTTTAACTCATCCACTGACTATTTATTTTTAATGACTGCAGTTTTTATTTCTAGACAGACACATTCTGGAAACCTACCTTTTCTTTTATACCATTTTTTATGGATTCATCTTTTCATATGGATTCAGTTCCTTTTTTATGGTATTAATCATCCTGAGTATACTTTGTCAGGTTCTTTTTTTTATCAAATATTTGAAATTGTAATGTCTTTGGATTGCTGACTCACTCATGATGGATTGTTTGAATGTTTTGTAATTTTAGATTGTGAGGATTGCTTATCTTCAGAGGAGCTGTAAGCGTGGGACTCCTATGTATCCTGGTTTGAGGATGTGTCCTTCCAGAGTGATCTGCATTTGCATCTTCCAGGCATCCTGTTTTTTTTTTTTTTTTTTTTTTCTCACTGCTGTGGCCTCTCCCGTCGCGGAGCACAGGCTCAGGACGCGCAGGCTCAGCGGCCATGGCTCACGGGCCCAGCCGCTCCGCGGCACGTGGGATCTTCCCGGACCGGGGCACGAACCCGCATCCCCTGCATCGGCAGGCGGACTCTCAACCACTGCGCCACCAGGGAAGCCCCAGGCATCCTGTTGATATCACTTTCTAAGGCCATTTTTATTGTTTTAAATTTCTTGACTTGGAGGTTCATTGTTGACATGTTTTTTAAGTTTGAATTTCACACTCATCTGTGGAGCCAGCCCATGATAAATCTTCAGAGGGCAATGTTTTTCTGCTGATCCTGCTGAGAGGTCGGGCAGAGTCAGAGAAGGTTCCTTGTCCTCCTGAGCTGGTGAGAGGATTTTTCCAGCCTGTCCTTCGCTTGTTCAGATTCAGCTCTCTACTCCTTCCTTCACGTGGGTACAAGCTCTTAAATCCTGTCCCACAGATGTTAAAACTCAATACTGACAACCCTCCATCTGGGGCCCCTACTGCTTTTTCCAGTTCCAAGCAGCTAGAGATTTCCTCTTCTTTCCTGAAAGGTCAGCTATGTGTCTTTTTTTGATATGATATATTTTTTCCAGCATTTCTACTTGTTGAACCCAAGAGGGTTTTCAAAAATAGGGTTTTCTATTTAAGTATGAAAACTTACCTCTTGGAGCTACAAGATTCAGAGTGTGAAGAGTTTTTTGGAGGAATTAAATACTTTTACATATGGAAATTACACATCTTACTTGTCTTTTGTCCAGCACGGTGCAAGTCAGTTGATATGTTACCCTTTTACCTGTTGAGGTTGTGGTATAATCTGGAAAGCGATTACCATAATAGAGTCCATTTAAGCAAAACTTCCAAAGCAGAAAATAATAATGGAACAAGCATTAAGCCAAAGACTGTGCTTAGATCTATGAGTTTTTGTTTCAGGATTAGATGGATCTGTGAAACTCCTTTTACTATGTGCATATAAAACATGAGAAACATTCGCACTTGTATATATAAATTATTTTTGCTCTCAAAACTTACTTTTGCCTATATATTGGCAGCATCTTTACCTGGTTCTCAGCTTCCAATGTTTACAACCTATGTAATGTATTGGGCTTTATTTCTTAAATAGAAGAGGATATTGAACAAGACTGAGAAATTTCAGTATTTTCATTTTAACCTGGCAATCTTAATTTCTTGGGCTGTAAAAGCTGTTCAGTGACAATGATGAGACTTGCATATTTTATTTTGTATGTGTGGTAAAATATACATAGGATGAGATTCGTCATTTTAAAATCAACAGTTCAGTGGCTTTATGTACATTCACATTGTTGTACAACTATCGCCGCCTTCCATCTCCAGAACTTTTTCATCTTCTCAAACCGATACGCATATCCATTGAACCCTGACTCCCCATTTCCCCTCTCCCAGCCTCCTCGCAACCAGCCTTCTACATTCTGTCTCTGTGAGTTTGACCACCCTGGGTACCTCATATAAATGGACTCTTCTGGTATTTCTCCTTTAGTGACTGGCTTAGTTCACTTAGCACAATCAAAGGTCATCCATGTTGTAGCATGTATCGGAATTTCTTTCCTTTTTAGGGCTGAATAATATTCCAATGTATGTATGTACCACATTTTGTTTATCGTTGATCTGTCAGTGGATATTTGGGTTGCTTCCATCTTCTGGCGACTGTGACTAGTGCTGTTATGAACACTGGTGTGGCATGCTTTTAAAACAGGCAGTGAGATGCATAAAACTGTAGATATTTTTTTTTTTAGTATATGTGCTGCCGAAGCGAGCACTGTAGGTATTTTTAAATGCTAACAATTGTTAATAGCACTGTCCTACAAGTTTAATTGCCTGTAACTATTTGAAAAGCACGAGAGGTTGAATAGGCTTGACCTTTGGGTGATAAGGAATGTAGTTCTTAGGAACAGGGCTGGACCAAGCACCAGCAAACAAATTGACCGTTTGTGCTTCGCTGGGTGGGCGGGGGGAGAAGGAACCAGGGCTGGGAAGCGCGTGGTCGGGTCTGAAACAGGAGTGTGGAGGTGACACCTTCAGAGGTGCCCCCGACAGAACCAGGAAGGTGGAGCAGGCCCTTCAGGGCCACGGGCTGAGCCTGGCAGCCGGGGGTCAGCAGACATGGGTCGGGGTCAAAGTGTGAGGGTGGAGAGGGGCTTGGTGCCTGCAGCGCTCGGCTGAACAGAGCTAGAGTTCTTCACCAACAGAAAAAGCAAAAGGAATCACCAAGCCAGCGTCAGGCTACCGATGCCCCATCGTTCCGATTCACAGATTCCATTCTAGAAAGCCTCTATTTCCAGTTTATGGAAAGTAGGATCCCACATTAAATCTATTCCCCTGTGTAAAGAAGAAGTGAAGAGCTCTCTGTACATTGAATGGGACAGAATCACACGCGGAGCACTGACCCAAAGCCCTGGGCTTAGGCCGGCCTTCCCAAGGGTCATAGACACAGGAATGAAGGCAAGGCCACAGAAGTCTGCCAGTGTTTTTAAAAGAAGAAAGGAGTGGACTTCTCAAAGCCTATAAGTCTACCAGGTTTTTTCTTTTGTACAGAAAAATTGCAATTTCTAGGCGATTTTTGCTTGTCACTGTGTGTGTATTTATTTGAACAGCAAAGAGATTTCAGTCATTACAAGAGGAGTTTTCAAACTTCCAGTATCAAAAGAAATTGTCCCCAGAGCACTTTGAAAAGGCACTGGGTTAGCATATAAGCCATGTATCGAAAAGGTGGAAAGGTAAGTCAGTGTGTTTATTGCCATTTTCACAAAATATTCAGTTACCTCTTTTTTATATTAACTGAGATTTCATTAAATTTTAGGATTGTAGTCGAAGTTCACGGCACCTGCTCTAAAGTTCTGTTTCACCGTCTCTTTTTGTTTTTCAGATTTTTTGTTTAAATTCTTGGTTATTGGGAACGCGGGGACTGGCAAGTCTTGCTTGCTTCATCAGTTTATTGAAAAAAAATGTAAGTGACGTCACATGGTCAGTGTTTCTTGCATGTCTTCTCCCAAGAGTGCGCTCTTGTGCAGATTTGTTTAGGACAAAACTTCCGAATATGTTTCCAGGGAAAATGTCATAGTTTAAAAATATTTTTAAGTGACATAAAAAGTTTACGTTATTAAACGTTTAGTAATCTGATTTTTAATTTAGCATTTCAGTTTCGTAGTGGGTCATTGTTCATTATTTAGTGAATTGTCCTGTACATTTTCCAGACACTAAAATACAGTATGATGCTGTGAAATTCTGTTTCCTGGCAGGAGTGGCCCGAGAACCCTAGTTGTACATTTTGGATAAGATAGCATTTGCTCCCCAGCGGCCTTGTATTGTCCTTAAGGCAGCTATTGTCATCAGTCCTGTTTTACAGGTAAATAAACAGAGGTTTACAGGACTTGGTGTGTGCACTTGGGATGGTCACCTAGTAACGGTGCATGTTAGACTCAAACCCAGGCCTTTCGACCACAGAAAATATCTTGTGCCGTTGACTTGCCCTGTGTTGGTGAGAGAGGTTGAATTTTGTATTCCAAGCTACTGTAAAAGATGGTAGGTTTGAAAGACCCTTAAATTAAGCCGTGCTTATATAGTAATGGAAAGAATTGTGGAGAATGACCTGTCTATCTAGAGGTAGTCGGGTGAAGGCCCGAGCACAGAAAATTAATCTCACTTAATGAAGTGCCTCTTAAGTAAGAATGCGTGAGATGCATTAGGTGGCGGGCCGTGGAGACAGAGGCAGCAAAGGGTGTCCTGGGAAAGAGCTCTGAAGAATAAGATTCTAGAAGTGTTTTCTGCTGCTTCCATTTCCATCGACCAGGAGCTTGTTGGAACCTTCATGTAGTGACACGGACCCAGCGTGGCTCACTCCCTCTTGAATTTGACAGGAGTTCACCCTCTGGGCGGCCTGGGGTTCTGTACGAGTTACCCAGACTTTGCATTGTTCCATCCCAGAAGAGGGGACGCTGGGCCAGGTGCCCGGCCTCGGCGGACACTCTCCCTTCACATCCTCCCCTCAGCCCTCACGACCACAGTAATGATGTAAGGAGGCTTCACTGTATTGCTCTCGTAGCTGTGTCTTAATCAGGATGCCCTTGGCCTTGCGTTACTGCCTTCAAAGGCTTTTCCTTCCAGGCTGGCCCAGTAGCTGGACACCAGCGGATGTCCACCCCGGTCTGCACTGTCTGGGCCTGAGACAAGCTGCTGGAATCAGACCCTTTCCTCCCCCAGGCCCCCAGGGAGCAATGAACAAACACAGCTGTCAGATGGCTCCCTGGTTTCTGGTACAATTAAATTTTATCCTGTAGTTATAAAATATAAACCAGTCAATGGACTGTGTAGCCAGGATATTTGTTTTATCTTTTCGTTTCACATCACAGAAATTTTCTTTTATAAGACAGCTTATTCCAGTTGGGTTTAGCAAACTACTTATTTTGCCAACCTCCCTGCCCATTCAGACAGTATTGATTTCTCCAGCAAATTCATTCCAAATGATTGCCACACACAATACTCGATTTCATGAAACTCAACAGCTGTAATGTGCATAGAGGTCTTGGTTTGGGGTGTGTTTTGTTCTGAGTTTTTTACTGTATCTTTTCTTCTTTTTCCCTTAATCTTGGGTGAGCATCAAGTTTCTTTCTTGGGCTACGGTGCCTTTCCTTCCCTTTACTTTTATTTCTTTAGAATGTTCGTCTGAATAGTTGAAACTATCGTTGGCCAAGTTGCAGTCTGTCACTGGGCAGTAAGCCCTCCAAGATGGTACCCAGTATTTTGTGCAGTTGCCATTCATGAGAACCTTAGCGGTGGTCAGGTAGATATGGTCTTATATGGCGTGGCCACCAAGCCTCAGCTTTAAATATATGGCTTGTTTAGGTGTTTTAAGAAAAAGCTTTATTGTCTCTTTGAGAACAGGCACTGTGTGTATTCTGTTTAAAACAGTGAGTGCTTATTAGCATCTGACTGTTGGAGAAATGAATGACGACAGTAAATTACATTTTCCATTGACAGAACTCTTGATTTTTAATGTTACTTGTATAAATCTATAAGCCTGTTTCCCTAATGTTCTAAAATTAAATTTCTTTTTCTTTTTCAGTCAAAGATGACTCAAATCACACAATAGGAGTGGAATTTGGCTCAAAGATAATAAATGTTGGTGGTAAATATGTAAAGTTACAGATATGGGACACAGCAGGCCAAGAGCGATTCAGGTAGCTTTTTCTCTAACTTAATAAAAATATTTGAAATCGGGTTTGAAATAATCAATTATATTCTCTTAATGTATGTGGTCCCCTCCTCCCTCCCCCCACCCTCACAGATTTTAGAAAGTTCACCTCTGGAAGCTTTAAGACAAGCTAAAAGTCAGTTTTTCTCCACACAGCATTGATTTACGAAAGAATACGTTAGAATCTCTTCCAAGTGCACGCGTCCTAATTTGGAGGCGAATTTATTCTTTGGGACCTAGTGGTACATTAGGAGGTCGTGGCATTGCATATTCCACACTTACTTTTAGATTAAAATCAAGGCAAAGTAGTAGCACAAACAATTTTTCTCTGTATTTCACTTTAAAAGGAGAATTTTTTAAAACCTCTTTGGGCGTTGGTTTTGCTTTACATTAAAACATTCCACAGAATATTCTGTCCTCAGCACTTGAATTACGCTGAAGTCAAGATCGACGTTTGGAATGATGACCGCAGCCCACAGCAGATAGGTTCCATGTCTGATATTCTGAAACTACTAAAGCAGGAAAGTAGATTGATATTTTAGTTGTGTTTTTTTGAATAGATACAGAAAGTCAAACAGAACAGATATTCACAGTTACAAAATGCAGTTAAATAAAACTCAATCCCAGTGCAAGCATTTCACTTAAAGTCAGGTATAACATTTTAAATGCTCAATAATTGTTTGCTTCAAAAGTATCGTAACTAGGGCTTCCCTGGTGGCGCAGTGGTTGAGAGTCCGCCTGCCAATGCAGGGGACCCGGGTTCGTGCCCCAGTCCGGGAAGATCTCACATACTGCGGAGCAGCTGGGCCCGTGAGCCGTGGCTGCTGAGCCTGCGCGTCCAGAGCCTGTGCTCCGCAACAGGAGAGGCCACAACAGTGAGAGGCCCGCGTACCACAAAAAAATAAATAAATAAAGTATCATAACTAGACTTCAGACAATATTACTGTAAAGCTATTGTAATCAGAACAGCGTGGTAGGACTTCCCTGGTGGTGCAGTGGTTAAGAATCTGCCTGCCAATGCAGGGGACATGGGTTTGAGCCCTGGTCTGGGAAGATCCCACATGCCGCGGAGCAACTGGGCCCGTGAGCCACAACTGCTGAGCCTGGGCATCTGGAGGCTGTGCTCTGCAACAGGAGAGGCTGCGATAGTGAGAGGCCTGCGCACCACGATGAAGAGTGGCCCCCGCTCGCCACAACTAGAGAAAGCCCTTGCACAGAAACGAAGACCCAACACAGCCAAAAAAATAAACAAGTAAATAAATAAAAATAAATTAAAAAAAAGAATCTGCCTGCCAATGCAGTGGACATGGGTTCGAGCCCTGGTCTGGGAAGATCCCACATGCCGCGGAGCAACTAAGCCCGTGTGCCACCAACTACCGAGCCTGCGCTCTAGAGCCTGCGAGCCACAACTACTGAGCCCACGTGCCACAACTACTGAAGCCTGCACACCTAGAGCCTGTGTTCTGCCACAAGAGAAACCACCGCAGTGAGAAGCCCACACACCACACCGAAGAGTAGCCCCCGCTCGCTGCAACTAGAGAAAGCCCACGCTCAGCAATGAAGACCCAACGCAGCCATAAATAAATAAATATATAAATTTATTTTTTTATTTTTATTTTTTTTGTTTTGTTTTGTTTTTGCGCGGTACGTGGGCCTCTCACTGTTGTGGCCTCTCCCGTTGCGGAGCACAGGCTCCGGACGCGCAGGCCCAGCGGCCATGGCTCACGGGCCCAGCCGCTCCGCGGCATGCGGGACCCTCCCGGACCGGGGCACGAACCCGTGTCCCCTGCATCGGCAGGCGGACTCCCAACCACTGCGCCACCAGGGAAGCCCTAAATTTATTTTTTAAAAAAGAGAAAGTACCTTGGACAGACTTAGAAGGACTTTCTTATTTAAAGGAAAAAAAACAGTGTGGTACTGGCAGAAAAATGCACATTTGGGTGAGTGGAACAGAATAGAGAGCCCAGAAATAAACCCACACACCAATGGTCAGTTAATCTTCCACAGAGGAGGCAAGAATATACAATGGAGAAAAGACAGTCTCTTCGATAAGTGGTGCTGGGAAAACTGGACACCTACATGTAAAAGAATGAAATTAGAACACTCCCTAACACCGTACACAAAAATAAACTCAAAATGGATTGAAGACCTAAATGTATGACCAGGTACTGTAAAACTCCTGCAGGAAAAGCAGAGGCAGAACGCTCATTGGCATAAATCACAGCAATATCTATTTTGATCTGTCTCCTTAAATAATGAAAATAAAAGCAAAAATACACAAATGGGACCTAATTAAACTTAAAAGCTTTTGCACAGCAAAGGAAACCATAAACAAGACAAAAAGACCACCCTCAGAATGGGAGAAAATATTTGCAAACGAACCAGCTGACAAAGGATTAATCTCCAAAATATACAAACAGCTCATGCAGCTCAATATCAAAAAAAACCAAACAACCCAATCAAATAATGGGCAGGAGACCTAAATAGACATTTCTCCAAAGAAGACATACAGCTGGCCAACAGGCACATGAAAAGATTCTCAACGTCACTAATTATTAGAGAAATGCAAATCAGAACTACAGTGAGGTACCACCTCACACTGGTCAGAATGGCCAACATCAAAAAGTCTACAAACAATAAATGCTGTAGAGGGTGTGGAGAAAAGGGAACCCCTCCTGTGCTGTCGGTGAGAATGTAAGTTGATGCAGCCACTAACTATGGAGAAGTGTATGGAGGTTCCTCTAAAAACTAAAAGTAGAGGCCCAGCCGAGGGCAGGGATGAGTGAGGCAAGGACTGGAAAGACAGAAATTAAGTGAAAGTCTGCTGACCCTCACCCTCTTCCCCCACCTCTTCTTTAGCTGCTGGCAGCCAAGTGTGTATGTCTCAGGCAGGAGAAATGATTCTTATCTGCAGAAAAATAGCCCCAAAGAAAAGGCTTACAGATACTAACATTTTGGTTTCCCCAATGAAATAGCCCAATTTCTGTCCAGCCATCTCACAGTGAATAGCCCACACATAAAGAGGGTCTCTTAGAGTTTGGCATCCTTGTTCTTGAATATAAATGATCAACCAAGGATCAGCAGACACTTGACGAAAGTTTTTAGGATAAGAGAAAGAGCCCAAAATAAAGAAAATAGAAACTTTCAGGGAATAGACAAACTAAAACTACAGTATCCTCACAAATAAGAGTAGATATTGCATTCAGGGAATAAGAACAAAATTATAATTTAAAAAGAGCAAAATTAAAATAATATATTAAATAAAGTAGTGCCCTTCCAGAAAGTGAAACGGTAAACTTGAGATGAGAAAGGGAAGAGACAACATAAAAAATCATACAGAGTCAGTCCAGGAAGCGCAAGGCCTGACCATTTAAGCCTTCCCGAAGACAGAAGAGCAGGAGAAACAGTAAAAGAAACAATTGAAGAAAATTTTCCGCTAGAGGAATGAGACTCTGTAAGATTCCACCTTACACCAAACACAGATGAGGGGGGAAAAATCCAGACCAGGTCTGCCACGTAAAATTTCAGAACACCAGGGCTGAAGTGAAGATACCAAAAGATTCCAAGAGGGAAGAGCAAATCACATATCAAGAATCGAAAATGAGAATTGCACCGGACTCTTCAGCAGCAACGCTTAGAAGCTAGAAGATAATTAAAGCCTTGCCTTCAAAACTCAACTTGAAAAAATTTTTTTCCAACCTAAAATTCTGAACTCAGCCAAACTATCCATTAAGTGTGAAAATGAAATCAGAATACCTTCAGTTATACAAGAATGGAGGGAAACAAAGGTTGTCTTTCATATATTCTCGCTTAGAAACTTCAGGAGGATATACCTCACCAGCACAAGGGAGGAACCAAGAGAGGAAGATGGAGCCACCGGGACCCCAGCCTGGGGAACAGGGGGGTGGCGCGAGCTGTCTGAGCCCCATTTCTTAAGGGTCCTTAGGGAGGTTCCAGTCTGTAGGCACGATCGATTCGATCACTGACCATTGGGGGTTGAACTTGAGCCCCGGTCCCTGAGCACCAGGGCCTTGCAGGCCTCGAGGAAGACCTGGAGGAGGGCCACTGGTGACAGAGGGGACGCACGTGGCAGGGCTCCAGGCAGAGCTGGTGGTTCGGATCAGGACTGTGCTGGTGAAGGTGTAGAGACATGCACAGTGTAGGATCTGCCCAGTTGGTGAGACGGGTCCTGACTGATGGGCCCACTGTGGGACACATTGCGTCACATCACTTTGTGATGGGCACAGAGTGGGTGGAGAGATTCCTGGCTGTGTAAACAGAGTGGGTGGTGGGGCCGCCTCCCGGAAGGGCCTGTAGGCCAGGAGCCAGAGTTCTGCCTGAGATGTTGACTGTGACTCATGCATTGTGGTCACACGGAGTTGCCAGGCTGGCAGATGTCTCTTACAGAAGTAGGCTGAGCTGAGGATTAAACCGGAGTTGAGAGCGTTGGGAGAAAAGAGAGTGGCATGGACATATATCCACTACCAAACGTAAGGTAGATAGCTAGTGGGAAGCAGCCGCATGGCACAGGGAGATCAGCTCGGTGCTTTGTGACCGCGTGGAGGGGTGGGATAGGGAGGGTGGGAGGGAGGGAGACGCAAGAGGGAGGGGATATGGGGACATATGTATATGTATAGCTGATTCACTTTGTTATAAAGTAGAAACTAACACACCACTGTAAAGCAATTGTACTCCAATAAAGATGTAAAAAAAGGGAGAGCCCAGGACCCGGCCTGGGGGAAGGAGCTGCAGGACCAGCGGGGCAGATTCAGAGGAATGGTCCGGCGTAGCTGGTGTGAGAGGAGACCGGGAGGGAGTGGGGCTGCAGCCTGCGGGCAGGGGCAGGGGTCCAGGCAGCAGGGAGGGCAGGTGCCGCGGGGTCGGTGGAGCTGCTGTGTCCACGGGGCAGGAGGAGGCGGTGCTGGCGAAGCAACTCCTGAGAAGTGTGGTTGCGCGAGGGGCCCACCATGGGAGGCAGCGGGAGCCGGAGCGTCGCGCCACCTGCCTGGCTCTCGTCCAAGATGGGAGGTGCCGGAGCCCATTGTATTCTGCGAGTGGGGAAGTCTTCACACGCGGGGAAA